AAGCTGATCAAGTCAGTTACTTTCTTATCGTCTTCACTCTGAAAATTTTCAGTGCATGAAGTAGCAACCTAGTCTCTGGGAATTTCGTATAAATGTGTGTACTTTTAAGAAATAATTAGTTTAGCATTGATGCTTACCTGCAAGGATAAATATTACTGTAACAATAACAATAACTAATGTTATTACAACTACAACATTTACTCTTACTGTTATTCTATAATAACTACTACTAAAAGTATTATTCAATAGTAACAGCAATAATTACTGCTATTAACACAAAAATTTTTGCAACTATTACTATTACTATAAGTGTAAGGAAATATAAAAAACATTTAGATAATAACGAAGAAATCAGAATAACATACAATAACCTTAAAATGACCTTAAAATGAAAAATGACCTTAAAATGCTTAAAATGATAATTTTTGATTGTAAGTAATAATTTTTGGCTAAAAATATTCTTTTTGGTTAGAAATATCAATTTTTCCATTACAATGAAAATATCAGTTTTTGGTCAAATTTTTTGCGATAATCTTTGTTATTATATTATTAATGTTAAAGAAAATGAATTGAAATTTACTTTGAAAATGAATTAATTTATAAAATATAATTAATGTTGAAATTCCCAACGAAATGATAATTATTAGTGAAGGAAATTTTAACTAATTACTAAGTTAATCTTTTATGGTAGATATTTTTAGCATATTTATCTGTCTTTTCACTAATCATACATTCGTCAAAATTTTTCCCTTACCGCTCGCTGTTCACTAAATCCTTTAATCTTTCGGTAAAAGATAAGGAAAATTACCGCTATAAAAAGTCGATTCCAATTAATAAATTACTATTTTTGATCCCAAACATCTTTCCAACAGTGAAAATTACCTGATGGCGAAGGACACAACGTTTTCGCATGCTAATTTTTGCTGTTATTATTATTACTATTACTATTATTATTTATTATTATTATCATTATCAGTAGTGGTAGTAGTAATAATTAAAGGTATTACTATAACATTTCTACAAATGCTTTTGGTAAATGATTTCAGATTCGTACAATTTTTTCACAATTATAGGACAGTCACTGATAAACCCTCGAAATTTATCACAGCTTTTTTTCATTCTCATATGAATCATTTTTTTTCCATAACATTTTTGTTTAGTTTATATCAAATTACTTAATGAATGAGAAACCATATGAATCATTTTATCATTATCATTTTTATTTATCAATCAATGAAATGATTAAAATTATAAGTTATTATGCCTTTAGTCTATCAGCCAATTCATTCATTCGAAACTTTATTTTAAGTAATATAATTAATTAATTCTAATTATGTGTTTTGGATTATAAATCAAACAAAAATCTCAAATTCCTTTCTTTTCAAAAGTAACTTTAGTTATAATGCAAAACACAGAATTAATTTTCTTTTTATTTTGCAATAATTAATTATATTATATGTTTGCAATGATTTTGTTAAATACTTAAAACAATAATTTGTTAAACAAATAATTGCAATTATTTTGAAGAAAAAAGTTTTTCATTTATATAAATAATAATTTTGAATTATAATTTATTCCCATTCTCACTTTTAATTTAGTAAATTAATGACTCAATTAACAATTAGCATTTTGCACATTTCCAAGTAAAATTATTATTGATTAATTATGCATTCATATTTTCTTTTTAATTCATTTGAAACCTTTTTAGTGAGATATTTATTTGATTGATTATTCGTTGTATATAATATAGTCAATCATTATTTTGTTAACAATCACAAAGTGCCTTTTGGATTTTTAAAATTTATTAATTGTTTTAATAGCATTAATATTTCGTATTGTTTTATAAATACTTCTGTTTTGATCATTTCATTCTAATTTTAAAAAATGGTGCGTTTTTTAAAAATATATTATATACTAAAATGAATATTATCTTTCCAATGAAAAAGGACAAAACGAATAATTAATTAATTAATTATTACTAAAAATACAAAATTTTGGAAAATTTTTTGTTCATTAATTTATTTTTGTTATTTTTGCATATTCTAAAAGGGAAAAAGTTTATAAAATTAAACAATGAGAAAATTAAATAAATACTTTATTCAAAATTCGATTAATAAAATACAAAATTTATCATAAATTGCCAAAAAAATTATTTTACACTTTATCAGTGATAAGTAACCTATCTCATGCGTATTATATATCCCAGAATTGATATTCTAGTATATTCCAGAAATGATATGTCATGATTAATATTCCAGAAGATCTCAGAATTTGTATTTGATTTGAGAACAGATTATGATATTCTTAATTGATGAATATATAATTGTAAGAAAATTAATTACTCAATCATTTAAAAATTCATATGTTCTCAAATCATATTTCAAATTTTTATATTCTAGAATTATTTTAATGTCAGAATTAAAAAATTTAAATTAAACTCTTTTTTTTATCCAAATTACTCTTAGCTATTAAACAATAACTTTGAAGGCCAATACTGTCAAAATTACAATTAGAAAAGAGTCAAATTTAAATTCAAAATTTTTTTCATTGTTTTTATTTAACAAATTTTATCATTAATTGCTTGCATTTAAATATTAATTATTTCTGTCAAAGAAATTTCCTTCCTTTTTTCCTCTTTTATTTTAATTATAAAAATTTCACAATTTTGCTTTTTTTGGAAGAGAAAAAATTAATAAATTTAATTTTTGCATAAACTACTAATTAACAATTTTTGGAAAATAATTATTTTACTTTTTGTTTTCCTTCATAAATCATTTCAATAAAGTATTTGTATTTTATGGCTTAATTAAGTAATATAAAATGTATATATATATATGTGTGTATGTTTATTATGCAAATGTTACTTATCCATGTAATCAGGTGTGTAAAGAAAGATCAAAAGAACTATCCGCCTAATAATTTAGTTCCAACAAAGGTAGTAGCAGGATAAGGAGGAGGAGGAAGGAGCAGGAGGAATTCCATTTGGTCAGCTAAGCTTCCTGACCACGCCTATAGTGAACAGTTGAACTAGCACGGGATGAGAGAAAGAGAGAGAGAGAGAGGGAGAGAGAAAGGGAGAGAGAAAGTGAACTACTAAACCAAACATATATTGAAATAAAATTGACACTCTTATGACCATTTCAAAATCCTAGCAACCATTTCCGCTTCTTTATCCGCCATTCTTTCTCTTTTACGAACTATGAATACTTAACCAATCAAAAAAACTATGCCATTTTTTCCTTTTGTTTAACTAATTAAGTTTAATTAATTAGTATGATTGTCAATAATAGTTTTAATGTTAAATTCATTTTTTGATTTAATTTTCATTTAAATATTTCATCGATAATTGTTCAATGCTTTTTTCTTTTTCCATTACTTTTTTGCTCAAAACGAATTAATAATAATATTTCTTTACAAATCCTTTAATTAAAAAGAAAAGAGATGATATAAGAGAAGTAAGAAGAGAGAGAGAGAGAGAGAGAGAGAAATTTTGAAACCTTTCTTTTGCAGCAAAAAAGGATGAAAAAGAAATAATGGATGGATAAATGATTGAAGGGAGAGGAAAGGAAAGAAAAAGATGGAAATTTAAATTTTGCTTGAAAAATTGAATTTTCATTTCTATGAACAAAAAATTCGATGAAATAGCTTAACGCATGTTTGTTTACAATTTTGATATGACATTTCGCTTTTTGCTTTTTTTAATTTTTCTAAATTGTTGATAATTTTTTTTGTTTGATAATAATAATAATCATTGTGCTTAATTATGATTAGGATTAAATAATTATGATGATTCAATGATTATGATAATACAATTATAATAATTACAATTTCCAATATATTCTTCCTCAGATTTATGTTTAATTCTGCAAAAATAAGAAATTATAGCAATTTTTTTCAGAAATAATTGCGGTAATAACAGCTTCAAAATGAATCGATCATATTCTATTAATTGTTATCCATCTGTTTCGCCAATTGTAATTATTGTTATTACTGCTTTCTGTATTGTAGCCAATTTTTGGCCAGTAATTGAGGCTACCAGTACTACTACCACTTATATTACGAATGCTTTTAATTCTACAAAAGATATCAAAAATCATGACATTAAGCATGTTCCAGAGGTTGAAGGTTACCAGAGTAAGACTGGTCTATCTATTCGTAATACGGATAATATTCAAATTTCAAGCTCACAATGTCCAATTTTTTGCGAATGTGAACATGCTGTTTGGGATAATGCCATTGAAATTTCCATATATTGTCATGAAGGTGGCCTGGAACAAATGGCATTTTCTAAACTTCTCAAACAAATCTCCAGAGAAGTGACAGTTTTGGATGTTGAAGCACCATTGGATCATCCAAATCATCTTCTCTGGGATGATAATTTAAATCAATTGCGACATTTACGTATCTTACGACTTGTCAATTGCGCTATTCCAGCAATAAGTCGTGCTCTGAAATTACGAAAATTAGAAGTACTTGATCTTCGTGGAAATCGAATTCAGCACTTGCCAGTTTCCATATTTTCCGGTGTACCATCCATACGAGAGCTTAATTTAGCTAAAAATTCATTGAGTGTCCTACCAACAGGCGCTTTTACATATCTTAAAAATTTACAAATTCTATCACTAGCACATAATAATATTACCGAAGTTACGGTAAATCTATTACATGATCTGAAAAATTTGAAATCACTTCATCTGGATGGTAATCGAATACCTGTATTAGAATTTAATTTACTTTTTCCGGATATTCCACAACTGGAACGATTAGAACTGAACGAATGTGGCTTAAGTATAGGAGCCGTAAATGATTTAGCACTGGATAAATTTCATTCCCTAAAACAACTTGGCCTTGCAGGTAATATGCTTGGAAAGGTACCAATAAGTGCATTACGTAATCATCTAAACTCATTAATCACTCTTGACCTTAGTGATAATGACCTTGTTGAAATAGAATCGGAAATATTTGTAAAGTCAAATATTAGTCGATTATTACTAGCTGGTAATCACCTTGGTACCAATCCTAATGCGCTATCATTCAATTCGCTAAAAACAGGGACGGCGCTGCGTGAATTGGATTTGTCACGTAATAGTTTTGAACATTTCCACTCAGAATATCTTGGAATAGCCCGAGGAACTGTGGAAATTTTACATCTTAACAAGAATCATATCAGTAGTATTGAACAATGGCTAACAGCAAATATGACGAAACTTAAAATCCTTCATTTGGGATATAATTTTATTGAACATTTACCGAGAAAATTACCCAATGAATTTGCGCAATTGACATTTCTCGATCTATCGGGGAATCAACTTTCCTCATTACTGGAACACCTCCGAGAAATTTTACCATCACTCCAGATGATAGATATTTCGGAAAATCGATTTACATCATTTCCAGTTACGGTGATTCAGAATTTTTTCAACAATTTGGAAAAAGTTAGTTTCTTTAATTTGCCTCTTTTAACAGAGCTATTTTTGACTTTTTTAACATATAACTCATTAATGGTCTATGTATTTCATTTTATAATAAAATATCACAAATAATTTCTTTCTCTTTTCAACTATTTTTCAAAGTTGTCATTAAATTGAAATTTTCTTTTATAATTGAATTAAATTTGAATAATTTGAAATTTTTGTTTATATGTTGTCATGACTAATACATCTGTTTATTTGTCATGTTGATATGTTTACTATTTCGGTATAGCCATCTAAATCTGTCAATGATATTTAGATGAATGCCTGCTGGATGAAGGTCAATTATAGATAATCCTGTAAGCTGTTGATCAGTAGGCCCATTTCAGTTGAAGGTCATTTTTTCAGGACGAAATCTTGAAATTAAACATTTTACTGAATCGTTATTTATTTAATATTTCATAAAATCAAACGTATCATTTGCCAAAAAATCATTGGTAAATGATATAAATCAGCGAAGTAAGTAATTGTGTTATTTTAAATTTGAGTTTTAAAATTTAAATTTAAATTTTCAATCTTATATATTAATGTAAAATTTTGGGAAACTAATGTTGAAATTAAAATTGTAGAAATTGAATGTCACTTCAATGACCTTTATCCTCCATATAATTTTCGAAAGGAAAAAATAGCGAAAAATTCAATGGATTGAAAAATTTTTTGTAGATTTTCAAGGATGTTTAAATTTAAAGTTGATTTTTTTAAACAATCTACCATTATTCAATCATTCTCAACAAAATAATTATCATAATTATCTCTATCAAATATCATTATGATTATCTTTAATCAAAAATAATTTCATCATTAAGAAAATTTATTATGGCGAGACTTTTTTTCTTCTGAATGTGGCTGACAAAATCTTTTGATTTTGATTTTCAAATTTCATTTCTTAAAATTTTTTCATGTAATCGATTCATTCATTTATTTGTTTATTTATTTGATTTGTTTATTTAATTTGAACACGCAGTAAAGTATTCCATATTATTAAATGCTATTGAAATATAAGCAAAGAAGTATAATATTATAAATTATTTTAATATAAATATTTCATTTATATATAAATAAAATGTTTCATAAAATTAAATTTTACTAATAATTCGAATTTTTTTATTTAACATTTTTGTATAATTAAATTAATTTTATTTTCATCAATTCTGCGCTAAAATTTATTTGTACATTAACAAATTATTTTTATAATCAGTTAAGTGGTACCAATATTGTACCAAAATTCAACAATAATATATTTTAATGGAATAATTCTAATAGTTGTATTCTTTCTATAATTCAATACTTATATTTGTATTACTGCGAAAGTGTTATGCAATATGTTAATTTCAGTATAAGTATTTATATATGAATATAATTGAATCGTTGTGCAATTTTCTATATAAAGTTAATATTTGAAATTTTAATTTTTATTTTACGACTGAAGAAAAGTAATAAACTTCTTTGAAAAGCAAAAAGCCAAAGATATTTGAAAGAAACAAAATAAATGAATGGTTATTAAATGATGAATGATAGTGAAAGAAACAGGCATCTCATTAATCCTACAAATTGAATAAATTCAAAGTTTGGAAAGAATTTTGAAGCTTTTTTAGCAACAGCTGATCTATCTGAAAAAACATACTAATAAATTAATTTGTTGCTGAATTTATTGAAATCCTAAAATACTTTAAAACGTAACCAAATTCATTTTTATTTCTATATTTAAAATTAAAATTATAATTTCTTTAATTTTTTTCCTGAATTGATAAAACAAATTATAACAATTATCATTATTCCTTTATTTCTCTTCCTTTAAACTTTGGATCAAAATTTCTTCCTAATATTTCATTCTTTTCTTCTTTTCTTTTTTTCTCTCTCGAATTTTAATTTATCAAAATTTATTTATAATATATTTTCTGCGTTCGATTATTTGTAATAAGAAATATAAGCAAAAGATGTGAGACATTCGGTAAGCTCAACAAATTTTCATTTCTCAATTGTCCCATCAATGAATGCCATTTGTCATTTGTCGTTTATTCCATGTCATTTACCGCCAGACCTATATAAAACCATTCGTACTTAGCAGCTCTTCAAATTTAGTAATAAAAAGCTTTCCTTTAATTTTTTGACGAATTTTTTAATCGAAATGAGAAGCAATTACTTTTCTCTTTTCTCTTTCATTCAACGATCGTCAAAGTTCGTCAAATACCATTAATAATTCTTATTAGCTAAATGAAAAAAACAATTGAAGTAAATATTTTAAAATGAAAATTCTTTAAATTACAAATTTTAAACAAAATGTTTTAAAATAAATTAAAATAAAAATTTGTTTACATTTTTAGTTTTCTTTTCCTTTCTTTCTTTTTGTAATAATTTTGGGAGAAAAGAAATGAAAAATGATAAAAGGAATCGTTGCAAAGATGAAGAGAAAAGAATAAAATTATTAGTATTTCTAATTTGAATTTATTCTATTTCAATTTCTATACCATTAATATAATTATTAAATTTAATATAACTAATTTAATTAGTATTTCTCGCAGATAATTTTAGTAAAAAAGCTGGAAGTATAACACTGACAGATTATCTGATCAGTTGATTTAACTTTTCCTCAACTCAAAAGTTTTTTTCAAGTTTTCATTTAAATTTAATTTAACAGTTTGTTTTAAAATGAATAAATTAATATTAATATAAATAAATTGCTCCGTTTAATGAGTTTATTATTATTTTTGGATTAAATTATTTTTAATTTTAGAATTGAATTGGTTAAAATATCGTTTCTCTTTTTAATTTCATTCTTATTTTTGCCAATTTTCGATAAATTTTTCTTAAGAATATGCAGAAAATTATTTGTTTTAATATCATTTTACTTTGCTTAAATTTAAATATTATTTTTCTCAATGAATTTCTCGATTGGGCTAATTTTAATTAATTTTAAGCTTCAAAAATTTATTTTGAATTTCGATATATTCGATATCTAAATGCAAGCTTTTAATTTAATTTTTTAAATTCATATTTTGCAAAACTGTTCACGCAGAAATTATAAGAAATTCCAAATTTCAGTTTTTGTAATCTTGACAAATTACTGTAGTCAATCTGATTTGTCATGATTACGTTCAAGCATATTCCGTATTTTCTTCAATGTTCTCAATTCCGGCTTTTACTTTTCAAATTCCCTCTTTTATTTTGCTTTTATCTTTTCCGCAATCCTCTATCGTCAAAATTCTCTCATTTCCCTTCATTTTATTCCTTCTGTTTTTTTCTTTTCTTCTCTCTCTCCCTTTCTCTCATCCATCATTATCAACCATTCATTCATTCCTGAAATTAACAATTACTAATGATTGAAGATGAAATGAAAAAATCCATTCATCAAGAACAGACGATGAAGATTCATTGGTAGACCATCAGAGCGGGGCTAATTTCGGATTACAATGATGCAATTACTGATCAAATTCAGCGAACCGGAAGGAAAGATTAGAAAAGAGTATATTTAGTAAGAACACTTCCCTTAGTGACAACCGAATATAGTTTTAATATGAATGATGTTATAAGAAATTTCCCGATACGCAAATATACCAGTAAGCGGGGATACTGATTAAATCATAATCATGAAATCTGTTGGTTCAATTCAATTAAATGGAAGAATTGTTTTACATGAAATGATATATTTCTGATCTATTATCCACGGTAATACAACTGAAGAAGTTTCCGGTCTATCATGATTAAATCATAAGAATTCATTAATACATTTCTAGAAGAGAAACAAATTGGATTAGAAACATAATAATTGTTGATTAAATTAAGTCAACCAGAAAAGATATAAGAGAAGAACGACATTCCGGATAGATATGCGTAATAGAAAGAAATTTTAACAATTTTAAAATGGTATTCAAATAAAAAGCATTTTTTCTCTTTTGAAAGAAAATTTAGCAAAAGAAGAAAACAATGAAGGAATTAAATTTCAAATTATATTTTCTAATTTTATTTCTTCAATTTGTGGAATTAATAATAAAAATAAGAAAGAGAAAGAAAAGAGTGAAAGATAAATTTAGGTTAGAAATGATTCAAAGAATGATAACGAAAAATGGAGAAAAAAATGAAGCATCTGACAGATGTTTCACTTTTACGATACTATGAATGAGCCTCATGGGGATCATTAACTAGGTAAATATCAAATGGAGATAAAAAAGGCAAGAAAAAAAGTTAGATTTAAATTTCTGCCTTTTCCCCTTTAGTTTTCATCATTTCAAATACTTCAATAAATTCAACGAAGAAAAGAAAATCAGAAAAAATCATGGGATTGAATGAATGATAAATTTGATATTGTTGAAAAGATAATCTTACGAAACTATTTGAAATTCAATTCATTAATTTAATTTAAATTTTTGTTGCATTTTTATTTTTCTTAATTTTCATCTTTGTAATATTCAATTTCGCTTCCTTTTTTAAATTTTCTTTTGTTAATTATTCTTTGCTAATTTTGTATTCACTTTTTTCCAAGTTTTATCTGTAAATAAAGACGGTAACAGTAATAATAATATTTAATAATAATAACAGTAATAATAACAATAATAATAGTAATGTGTGATATGATTACATTTTATATTCATGAATAATCTGTTAGTGTTTACGATTATTTATATTTAGTTTTAATGTACACAACATTTTAAAGTTATGGCCATGAAAGAAGGCAATTGTTAGCACTGAATTAGGATTAAACAGATAACAGCTTCATGATAAAGATTGATATAATCGATACTGATCTATATCTATATCTATATATATATAGATATATATATATATATATATATGTATACATACTTCCATGTCATCAAATTCAATTATCATTCCATCAAATTCACATTTTAATTCATTGAAAAATTCGTTGAATTTTATTAAAATTGCAAAAGTTAATAAAAATCTTTGAAATTAAAAAACGGTAGAAATTATATTATCATAAAATCTAATATGCTAAATATATGATAAATATAAAAAGAAAAAATTATAATAATTAAGTATTTTCTCTGTTGTATATTATTTTGCATCATAAATGATTGGAATTATAATTTAGTATATTTAAGAAACATTTCTAAAAAATATTAAATTTAATAATTAATATAAAGGAAGGTAAAATGCTTATACCTAACAAAATTCCATTAATTATTTTAGTATAATAAATATTCTAACATTATAAGTACTCAAAAATTTGAAATTATACTTTCCAATTTTATTTCTTCATGTTTGAGGAAGTAAAATTATTAGATAATTTCTTTGAAAAATAAAATTTTAAGAAAAAAAAATTTCCGTTTCTCAATTCTTTCCTTCTTTCTCTGTCTCTCTCTCCCTCTCTCTCTTTCGAATTTTGCATTATCATTTTGGATAAATTTCATAAAATTAAAGGATGAAATAATAAAAGCTGAGAAGATTAACAAAATGTCTGTTCAAACCACTCTTACATTTGATAATACATATAAATAAATATTAATAATTTTGATAATAAATAAGTTCATAGTGAATATATATTTAACATTTATCAAGTAATTGATTATAACTAATTATAATAGATAATAGCTAATAAGAAATAACTAATAAACAGGTAGTTAAAGTGGAAAGTATTAAAGCAAACAAATATTGAGAAAATAATTGATTAGCGTATAAAAATAATCATATTGATTATAATTTCAGTTTTGAGAGTTTATTTACTAAATTATATGAGCTGGCAATTGTAAATAATTATGAATCCATTCTTTTTCTTTTTTTCTCTTTCTCTAATTTTAAGGTTAACTTACACGGTAATCCATTAGACTGCACGTGTTACGTGGAAGAGTTGAAGCGTCACATGTTGGATCGTAATGTCTATCGGCGTGAGCTGCAATACGAACATACTTGTTGTGCAACACCTGAACATCTTCAAGGCACACCTGTATACAGGTAATACTAAATTCCATCAAAAAAATTATCTCAAATAGCGACATATAAGATAGCTAATAAAGTTAAGAAATTTGATGCATAATTATTAATTACAAATTTTGTAATATACTTAAAACAAAAGTAATTTTATATCTTTTTTTGGAAAAAAGAAATAAAATAAAATAGAAGTAAAATAAAAAAAATCATAAAATTTTTTATTGATAATTTAAATTCGAATTGCTTACTAGTTTTTTAATTAAAATTCTTAATAAAATTTGTTAATATTTTATTTTATAGACTTGATCATGTTGCTGATTGCACATTTTTATTCGGCGCTCGTTACGGTTTATCACAATTATCTGAAATTGCAATTTTATTTTTATTTCTTATCATTTTTGCATTATCAGCTGCCTTGTTGATTTTGGTTGCATACAATCGATTAGAACGACGACAAAAGGTTTTGCTTTATTCTCATTTTTGAACCTCAATCTCTTTTTTGATAAATAAGAAAACTTTTAAAATTTAATTATTATTATTATAATTTGCAGAAGAAATATGCAGACATAACGGAATCACAATCAAGGATAGCATTGACACTTTCACAGCATCTCAGCAATTCACCTACATCATTAACTGAACCATTAAGTCCACCGCCGGAATCACCGATTTCCGGGATTTCAACGAAAATGCCACCACCACCGCTTTCCATTCTACCCAGTATTTAACTCGCAATTTTCCTTGTTAATTTTCCAAATGAATTTAATCTCTGAATATTGAAAGAAAGATGAAAAATTTCAAAAGTGAAATATTGAGAGTTTCTAATTATGAATATAAAATTTCAAATGTTTCAGAAATTTGATTTTGTTGTAATCTTTCTTTTTCTCCTTGTCTACGGGTAGTATAGAATGTTTGTCAAAGTATCATAGTTTTAAATTTTCTTCAATATAATAGTTGAATTTATTTTGTTTGAACTTATTGAAAATTTCATTAATGCTTCAATTTTATTAAAATAAATTATATTAGCTAATAATATTTTTTCATTTGTTTATTTTTAATTTCTCATGTAAAGGTTTGAAACTGAATACTTTCAATGTATATGAGCGTCAAAATAATTGTAATTTAATTAACTTAATTGTAACTTAACTTAATTTTTCTTTTATAAATTTTTAAAGGTAATTTTAATTGCATTTAATTAATTTGTTCACTTTGTATTGTTTATTCTGTTCAAATATTTCAAAATAAATCATAAAAAAGGAAATTATGCAACGAAAAATTGTTTCTTATTTAACCTTAATTCATTTACAAATCAAAATTTGCCTATTTACATTTATGAAAATTTTATGAAATTTTGCTTCATAAAATTTTCTGTTGCTTATCATCCTCCTCCCATCATTCCTACGTCTCCTTCCTCTCATTATAGCCCTCTTGGATCTCTCAATCCTTGCAGTCCCATTTCTTCCTTATCGCCTTGACTTCTTGCATCCCACTCATTCCTTTCGGACCTGTTGGATCTTTACGTTCCGGGTTTCCTCGATCTCCATTGCGTCATCTATTCCCGGCGGCCCTACGGATCTTATCTTGCCTCCCATCTATGGACCACATGTCTAAAATAAAAGTTACAGTATTTGGATTTTGCGGATTGCAGTGAGAGATTATCATTCCCTTAAAAACAAACTATGAGGGACTACTTGGGCTATGTAACCAGTGCAGATGACCATAAGAGAATGCCGAAAATATGCATTGACAATCTGATAATTGATTTTGTGCACATGGCTAAAATATTCCGAATTTCCCTTAAAACTTTTAATTTATTTAAATTTCGTTGAGCGCGGAAGATAAAAATGTCAAAAAAGTATTTAGGTCTCTTCAGAAGATCGCTTCAAAATAGAAATCGTCTTTCATAGATGAAACCTTTTCCTTATCATCAGAAGAATATAATAAATTCATGATTAATATAAATTTCATTAATTCATTTTATGCTATTTAATATTCAATTAAATATTCCATATTTCTTTCACTTATTTCTTACAGTAATAATGTAATGACTGTTAGGTATTCAAAGTAAACAAATGGATAAATTTGGATGGTAATTAATTAGCTGCTTGGTTCCCTGTTAATTGATTCGTTGTAAATGTTTTAATGAATAGAATAGCATAATTTGCATTGAACAAAAAAATCATTTATTAGTTTAAAAAATGATTCATAAGAGGTTACTGTAAATTACATCCCAAGGAGATCCCAAACAGGAAATTAAGAACTTTTGATTTGAACTTGAAACAAGACTCTAAAATTATCTAATAAACAATTAATAGATATCAAATTAATAGATATTAAGTTACCGATATCAATTTAAAAATGAAGGAAAACATTTCGAATAAAAGATAGAATTTATATTAAATAGAAATTTTCAAATTTTTAATATAATTTCTAATTTATAAATTAATCCATATTTGTCTATTGCTACAAAGCATTTTATATTTTCCATTCCTAATAATTCTTTGATTAGAAATTTGATAAACGTTTTAGAAAATCATTCAAATTTTTAACCTACAATTAACTAAATTAAATTTTCTGTTTGATCGATTATTTTTCAAATTTAATATTATATGATGAAAACGACAAATGAAGAAGGAAGAAGGAAGTTAAGATAACAATAATAATAACACAGTTCCAGCAGGTATTTTGTAAACAAATGTATCAATCAATTCAATAAATTCTGAAGGAATTGTTTTATTACGCTTTAATGACAGCTTTTTTGCTCATTTTAAAAATCAAAAGGGCTATTTTTCACGCTATTCATAACACCTAAACTAATGCTTCTACTATTATTTGCTGAGTTATTGATTTATACTTTAAAGAAATTCACCTGATAACGTTACCAGGATTTATCGACAATATCATGATCATTTGAATATAAGAAATTTCATTTCATTCATTTCAGTCAGTTAGATGTAATTCAATCAGCAAAAATTTAATGTCTCTACTATTATAAGTTGTAGTAATTAATTGACATAATAATGATAATAAAAAATAAAGATACACGTAAATGTAAACATGTAAACGTGTAAACGTGACTGTTTTATTATTGTTTTCAATAATAAGTAAAAAATATTGAAAATAAAACGGATTTTTACTTTTAATAGAAAACAAAATTCATCGAAAGAACTCTAATGTAAAGTTTGCCTTTTGGCCAAAAAATTCGGAAAAGTAAATAAATATCAATAAAATATATTAAGTAAACAAACTATAATGGATTATCAATGATTTATTCTAATATATAATAAGAATTGAATCATATTTTTTAAAAATTCAATAATAAAAAATAAGAATGATACATATTCATGGTTACTTCCTTATGATCAATTCCTTTATTCTTCTATTTTTGCTTTGAGTATAAATTGGATATTTATTCACCTCACTTCATATTTTATCATCTAAATAAGAATTCTCTAAATCCCAATCAAAATCTTTCTTCAATTTGAAGCCTTCATATTAGCTGTATAAATTTTAATATTATCTCATTATTTTCATAAAAATTGAAAAATAAGTTCCTTCCTTTATATCATTGATACCTTATTATGGCGTCAATTTTTCTGATGTGAGTGACGTGATTGATTTTGCTACCTTAGCTGATTTCATTAATTACAATATTCAATTAATTTATTCGATGAAAAATTTTTGTTTTGTTACTTGAAATTTTCAGTTTCCTTTTCTTTTCTTGATAGCAAGAAAGTTGTCGAAATATATGAGATTTTAAATGTAATTTAAAATTAATCTTCGAGAAAAACGATTCCTATTTGAATAGTATTTTGATTTAGGAAGAAATGCTTCTTTAATATACCCAAAAATTTCCGTACGGAATTTTAATTCTAAATAAATTTATCTTTAAGCTGCTCTTGCTTCACTACTCTTTATGATGGAGTAAAGATGCGATATTTTATTCTGTGAGAACTAATTCTTGATAACATTAAACTCTCGAGATATTTCAAATAAAATTTTTCTCTGTCAAACGCTATGATTTTCATCAATTACATCACTTACTTATCATCAATATTTGAATTTCTTTGTTTAAATTTTGTTTATTTAGAAATTATGCCATTGCCAACCGGATCGGATAATTATATTTATTTCATCATTAAAATCAGTAATAGATTTTTAAAAATTTCCAAAGCATGTTTTAGGTAAAATTCAACAACATTCAAAATTATGCACATCAGAATAATACCAATAAAACAAATCATTTCAAAGAAAAGGTCAAAAATATTCCAATTTTTAATTCAGATTTTATTTGTAAATACCGTAGGCCGTACGGTACCGTATGCTATGAGCATAGGTATAAATTCTTTTAATGTACAAATTTCTGATTTATCAAATAATCAGCAACTTTCTTTCTCTGATTACTTTCAAAAATGCTTACAACAATATTCAATTCAATTATATCAACCGTTTCTATTGTATCCATTACCGTATCTCTGGCAATGTTTGAATCAACAGCGGCAGCAGCAGCAACAACAACAACAACAACAACAACAACAACAACAACAACAGGATGGGAATATTCCATACATTCAGCAGACAACTCAAAGTGAGAACTTCTTGTAATTTGAAATCAAAGGCAAAAGCTTTTGAATCTTTTTACTTGAAAATAAACTTGAAAGTATTTTAAAATTTCAAGCAAAAAGCTTTCAAAATATTAAATTTAATTTAAATTCAAAAAACTTAAATTTGAGGCAAAAGACTTGCATATATAATTATTTAACGTTTACTCTTTGAATAAATTTGCAGGAGTGGGTGGTTCAGTAATGGTTTATCGAATGATATTCCGGCCACCTTTCAGTTGGACTTTTAATTGCTTTTGTGATTGCGAAGAGTTTGTTTCTTTTTCCGTTTAATGCAAAACATTTCTTGAAAGAAATCAAAATTTTCCGGAAATGGTTTTGGAACACAAGGAATTTTCGAGATTATCCAACTGAAATGGATCTATCAGATGGCAATATCATTTAATCATAAATTTAGCTTTCGGAAATGTAAATATAATTTAAGAGAATTGAAAAAATTTTTTCAATTTTTTTCCCAATCTCATCTTTTTCTTGAAATATTTAATTAATTAAAAAATTATTTATTGTAATTTACAATATAATAATTATTGACAGAAATTTCTTATTTGAATTTAATTCATTTATATTTCCTATCATTAGGAATACTATCTATGTGCCACGTGTTCCTGGACAACATACAAATTTCACTGAAGCTAACATATATGTCAAAAATCAATTACGTGAAGCGGTAAGAAAATTTACTAAACTTGAAATTTTAATAGTCCATAAAAAAATTTTTGATCCTCTTTTAATTATAAATATATATATGTGGCAGCAAATAAATTTAAGCATATTTAATTTTGGATATTCGTACATTTTTGCGTATTATTATTTCGTCATTTAATTGTTTGTAAATGATCGATTTATGTTAATCAATCGATTACAAAGCGAAATCATTATTGTATTATTTTGTATAAGTAATAATTGAATCAAAAGGAAATTTCTTACAAATGATTTTAATTTCATATTCAAATACGAAAAATTCTTGAAATTAAATGTAAGAAAGGAAATTCAAAAAAACTTAGTATTACTTAAATGCAAAACATTTTGGGAAGAGAAATTTTCTTCTTATATAATTCCATCATTAATTAATTACTTTATATTTTTAGAAATCACAAATTCATTATAAGAAAATAATTAAATTAAATTATTGTACAATTTATACAATTTAATAAATTAAAAGTATAACCTGAATAAATGATCTGATATAAATTCGATAGGCATTGCAAGCATTTCGTTCGATCAATGTTACACCTGAAGGACTTATTATCACAACCAGTTTTTGGCCTTATCCAGCATTTATCGTTAATGATATTAATATTGCAAAAGCAACTTTTATCAAAGCAAAATATTATTATATGCTTATGGAAAATGTGTTGGCATTACGATGTGAAGCGGTGGAAACAACAACATGTGTTAAGAAAGTATGGCAATAAAATTAGCATTTCTCCTTTTTTCCTTTTCAATCTTAATTTGATAATAATGCTTTTGTTTCCGCAAATAAAAATTAAAAAATAAAAATTTTTCATTTTGGAGAAATTTTTAGGGTAATTTTAAATCATTTCAAGAAACAGCAACACTTACAATTGATATCCTAAATGTGTTAACAGAATTACAACGACAACAACTTGCCATCGAAATTCAACGATCGTTGGAAAAACGATATGTCATATTTAATTCACCAATTCAATTATTAGATGATAATAGAAATAAAAATATTTTAGATCCATAATTTCTGAACAATTTAGAATTTTTCGTATCATTTTTATAAATTTTTAAAGGAAATTTTAATTGCATTTAATTAATTTGTTCACTTTGTATTGTTTATTCTGTTCAAATATTTCAAAATAAAATATAAAAAAGGAAATTATGCAACGAAAAATTATTTCTTATTTAACCTTAATTCATTTACATATCAAAATTTGCTTATTAATTAAATTCATATGAAATTTTCACATTCATTATCCAATTTAATTAATCTTTGTAAAAATTTTGCAGAACAGAATTTACTTCATTGTTTTAAACTGTAAAACACATTCGATATAATATCAAATAAGCGATAGCATACTTATAAATGATTGATAAATTAGGAATATTTAAATAACTGAATAATACTACCAATATAAATCCGTAATATATTTGGATAAAGGTATGTTTATGGAAATTACATTGCATTGGAAAGATATCAGAACCGGATGATACATTGATATTTAAGCATTTCTAAATTTTCGCCATTAATTCTTATGAATTTTATACGAAAAGAAGAAAGACATGAAATACTAAAAGTTCATATCAGATTGTTGTAATCGATTCTCGTCTATCAATCATTAAAGTACTTACTTCTCTTCATTAACCTGTATTTGTCTGCAGTTTAACTTTTCCTTCAACTCAACTAATTCATTCTATTTCAATTACAATTTAAAGACGTTCTTTCTTCATTTTTCTTTTGTTTGATTTTAATTTCAACTTCATTATTCATAATAAGCCAATTAGCTATATGATATTGTTATTTGTCAGTTATGTTTCAAATAAATTAATTTTGTTGTATTATTTTATCTTAAAATAAACAATTATCATTTATTATTTCGGAAATATAAATATACTTTTATTTTCATTTCTAATTTTCAATTATTTAATATAAATTATATTATAATTTAATATATGAAATAAGTTATTGGCAATGTCAGTATTTATTGCTTAATAATTTAAATTTATGCTTGCAAAAATTGAAATATATTTATAAAAAATATGTCGCAATTTTCTGAATTCAAAAGCACTTTCTACAAATTTTTTAAAAGATCTAATTTTATCGTAATTTTTTATGACCGAAAATTTTATCCCAAAATTAAAAATAAATATTGAAATTAATCGATAAATGAATTAATCAAACTAGATATTATCACCAATATCAAATTCCTCGATGAATGACAGCATTTGATCATATGATCGTTGCATTTCGTTTACGATAGCGTTGCGAAAATATGTCATACGCATAGAAAGCAACCATATATACTACTGGTCCATAGTTTTTTTTCATTAATCTGAAATGCTTAGAAATCAATGATAATATATATGTCCTTTTCTACTAATTCTAGATTGATTAATTTTTTATCATTATCTGCTGATATAATTTGACTAACAAATCATCTCTGATAACAATCAATCATTAATTCTATTGGTCGACAATATTATCATTGTATCCGCTTCATTCTTTGATCTTTCGAGATTTGATTACAATGCAATATTTGATTTTCTAAAATGAAGTTATGATATGAAATTGATCTTCAAGTTTTTTCCTAATGAACAAATAATGTGTGCTGCAACAACCACTATATTATCACATCTTTCTTTTCTTTACTTTTATAATTTGATTATATTGAAATGAAATGTTTATTTAGTTGTTATTCGTGTTTTTTTGTTTTCTTTTTCGTCATAAATCATCATCATTTATCAGGTTTATTTTGTATATTTTTTATATCAAATCAAATTCTTCAATAATATTTATCATCTATTATTACTGCCATTTTTTATCAATAATTATCGTAATGTTTAAAATGTAATCGATTGAATTTGATTAATATTTATGGAAAGCGTTATTAGTTACAAATCGATTTCATTTTAATTCTCAATAATGAAAACTTGTTTGTATATCATTAACTTCCACCACTAAATAATTGCCTCTTTCATTCTCCTTCCTCTCCTTTCCCATTATTCTGGAAAGAAATAATTTTGTGGATTGGTAACAGTTGACCAAGTAAGATTGAAATTGATTAGGTAAAATGTGATAAGCGGAGTAACATATGTATTTATGTTTGCGTTTAATTAATTTTTTAATGAATTGATCCATCATCTTTTTTTGAAAAAGCTCTTATATAGTTTTAATTATTTAAAAATAAATTTTATAAAGTCATTTAAAAAAAAATTTTTTTTAAAAGATATTTGAATAAAATCCTAAAATTGGTGCCAAAGAGTTGGAAGGTTAAGAATTCGATTAGAACGAGTAATATATAAACTTATTAATTCATATTTGATGAAATATTCCGAATTACGACCCGACGAAATATCATTTCAAATGCCAGATATCATTAAGTAATCACAACAAATATCTCATTAATACTTTTATAAATTATAAAAATTATTTAAGAAGGTGTTGAATATTTATTTATTTAACTTTAAATAGTAATACTTTGTAAAAACAATTTTCGAAAAAATAAATTGTAGAATCAATCGAAGTTGTTACATTTGGTTTTAATTTAAATATTTTTATTCCATAAATTATTACATAAATTTTTAGGTTTAAAATCTTTCCATAAAATGCTTGCATAATTTGTTGTATTTCTTATTCAGAAAAAATGTTTTGAAAAAATGTTTGAATAAAAATTAAAAAATTTTATTCTTATCTTATCAGTGATATAATCACAACTCAATTGCAAGCGATTGTCTAATAGCTAATTTAGATTGCTTATAACATAGATCTTTTTTCATTTCATTTCTTTTATGGCATTTTCTCTTATTTATAAAATTGAATAAAACTTTTGCAAATATATGTTTGCATTGAGAAAAAGTTATTACCAAAATTATCTTCTCAATAGCTCCTGAAAATATTCATCAACTAAGAATATTTCTAATTACCAATTCTGTATTAAATAAGTTTCAAATAAAGTTTAATTAAAATAAATACTTAATTAAATATCATATTAAATAACAAAAAGTTTTTTCATTCAATTTTTTATTTAAAAATTAATAAACATTTAGATAGGATGAAAAGGAAAGTTTAACATATAAAGTAACATAGAAATAGTTGCAATGATAGTATAAAAATGAAATTAATCTTTAGAGAATTAAATTCTAATTTTTTCCATCCATTTACTTGATATTGATTATTTAATATTTAAATTTAAAGTTAAAATATCATATCAAATTCGTATATTAATTACTAATTTATTAATGGCACTTATTAATTTATTAATGGCAGTTATTAATTATTACACAAAATTTCTTCAAAACTTAATATTAAAATAATTTGTCAATAATTGCAATCAACATTTTATTGAAAAGCAGATTCTGTTTTATTTCCTTTAAATTATTTGTGTATTTGGGCAAAATAAGAAATAATTATGATAAAATAATCAATAATTTTTATTGATATAATTTTTTGCAGACATTAAATGAAAACATATTTATTTCAATGGGGTGGATATTTGCCACCATTTCACAAATATGCAGTTCTTCTTCTTTGTGGTTTTGAGCTTATCGTTTCCGCTATGTCAATGGCTATGGCGCAAAAATACTATGAATTATGTACTATATTATTTCCAATATCAATGTATATGTTCGAAGATACTAAACGGAAAAAGATTGAAGGATTCGTTTGGACTGAGAAAGAACGGCAAATTCTGCAGAATGTTAGCATTTCTTTAAATTTCCTCAATAATTCGCTTCTTTATAATATCAATATTTTTTAAAATAAGTTTTCATTTTTCATTTTTTGGTTAACTTTTGATTTTCAGTTGTATTTTTGATTAATCAAAATTTGTTTTACTTTTGTATAAAATTCTTATTGCAAAGGGATTTCAATTTGCTTCTCATAAATTATTTTTATAACATATTATTTGTGTATTTATATGTTTATTTATTTATTATAACTTATTTTATATTTATTTATATTTTTGTTACATAATTATATTTATATATTATTAATTATTTGTTTACTTTTTGTTATTTGCTGTGCTTACATATGTGTTTGTATATCATAAATATAAATATAAACAAATAAATAATAGTTTTATAAAGGAAGTCAAAGCAACATAGAAATGGAAAGTTTGAATTTATATTCAGAATGAAAAACATAGAAGTTAGCAATTGGCATGAATTTCTTTAAATACCTTTATAATTATATATTAACGACAAGGTAGTTAATAAATAATAATGATTTAGAAATTGTTAAATTCATTCTTTTTGACTATTTTCAAACTGACAACCTTTTTTGCTCGTTTTGTTATTATCATTATTAATATTTATTATTGTTATAATTTTTATTATTAATAATGATATTATAATTATGTTACTGCTGTTGCTGCCATTTCATCATTATCATTATTATTTATGAATTCTTATTTATTATTCCCATTATTATTGCTATTAGTGTCATTATTATTAATGAAATTTCAGCATGAACAAAAGTTGCTATTATTATGGTGCACATCAACGGCAGCGATATTTATAGCAATGTTATTAATTGTACCATTTTTTTTCAAATTTAAAAAGCCAAAAGAAGCTCAAGAGGTAATTGAAAATTATGAATTTTATGAATTTTTTCCTTGAATTTAAAGAAAGATTTAATTTTCATAATTTTCTCACACAGACTATCATACTTAAATTTGAATTAGGCCTAAATAATTGAAATATATTAATTTATTTGATGGATTTTATTATTGTCATTTTACTAATTATTATAGGGTATAATATTTAAAAATAAATTTTATCACTTATAATTTTACAGAGAATGCTCCGCATACTGATAATGTATACATTAGCAGCTGTATTTATCATTATAATATCAATGAATGGTATAGTAATGATATGGCTTTATCATACTGCACCAGCTGATAATAAATTATTTTATGAATTATTTGATAGGTCTGTAAAGGAAGAAATATTCTTAACCGAAATCGAAAAAGGACTTGATTGCATTT